TGAGTCTTGGGCTTGTGGTGGCGGAGGTCGAGCGGGATGTCTGCGAAGGAGTCGCCTTCCTTCGCCTCTTTGATCAAGGTGTTGACAATGTCACCCAGGTATCGCTTGTTCTGGGCGCGAGTTGTGAATTTCTCGCAGGACATGCGTACAATGTCTGTATCGGGGTTGTAGCGGGTTCCCACGAGTTTAAGGAAGGTCTGGCGCTGTTCCTCTGAGAGATATTTGGGGACAAGATCCTTGCTGGCCAATTCGACGACCACCTTGGCCTCGGCTGGATGCTGTTCACCCATATACGTGGTGTAGCGGAAGCGAAGGATGTGAGTTTCGGGAGGAAGGGTGAAAGGTTTGGCGAGTTCTAGGGATTGGAGGCCAGATTAGCATTGAACCATAGTCGCTTAGAAATGTCGGAACTTACTGCTCAGTAAAGGCATATCCCAAGCCGCGATGCGAGCATATTCACGAATCTCGCGGTGCAATTCGACCTCCGCGTGCGCCATGGAGGTGATCTCGTCGTCGTGGAAATCGTCGTCTGCGTCCTCCACAAGACCGAATTCATCGTCTTCTTCCTCCGCCCAGAAGCCCCGGGATTTGTCCGGTACATCCTCAAATCGCAACCCTACTTCCTTCTCTATGTCTCTCACACTCTTCTCGATCTCCGCAAATTTGGCCGCTCGCACTTGCGGGTCGTTGAATTCTTCGATCATCCGACGTTGCTCCGCGTCAAAAGCCTCCCGTTCCTCCGGGGATAGCATATCATACATTGACCGCTCTTCCTTGCTGAGGAGATCCGGCGAGTACTCCGGCACGTCAGGCAATTCATCCTCCGGCGAAGGTTCTTTGGTAATTGGCGGATCTTCCGGCATGAATTTGAAGGGTGTGACAGAGAAGGGGCGGGATTGAATAGCAGCAGGACCTCTCCGAGCGACCGAAAAGGCCGTACGGCCCAGATATCTTGCGACAAAGGCCATTGCGGGCGAAGATTGGCCGTGGGGGGTTGTCGAATTCCTCCTGGGATTTGCATGTCGGAGATGTTTTCTGCGGATGAACTTCGCATGGTAACGCTAAGCCTAAACGGGATAAGCGCATTCACTGCTGCCATCATATCAATACATCACTGCAAAGTACTGCAACAACCATTCATCATCTCCTTTGTCTGACCTTGATGTTGGTCGATAACGGACGTGCATATTTATTCAAAGGGCATATCTAGCTTAGGAGCTGAAATGCTCCTGCGGCCCTGTCATAGCATCGATCAAATTCCCTGTCAAACGGAGTTCCTGGGGACTTAGTTTGCGGTCATGTCAGCGAAGCTCGCGACCAAAGTATGCTTTGTGACAGTCGGCGCAACTGCCTCTTTTGAAGAGCTTGTACGCGCTGCGCTGGATCCCTCATTTGTGACGGCCCTGGAGAAAAATGGCTACTCGCATTTACTGGTACAATACGGCAAAAATGCGGCGATTTATGATAATTTCCTCAAGCAGTATCCACCTGAGCGCAGGCCCTGGCGCAGAATAGATATCGGTGGTTTCTCCTTCCACGAGCATGGGTTGGGTGGAGAGTTTGCATTGGCTCAGGCAGACATAAGTAAAGGACGAAGTGGTGGGTTGGTTATCAGTCACGCAGGTTTGGATCATCTTTCTTGGCCGTTACCCAGCACTGGCATCCTCTGATATCTGACATGGAATGCTTGTTAGGATCCGGCACTATTCTCGAGGTGTTGCGGATGGGCATTCCCCTCGTTGTCGTGCCCAATCCTTCTCTTCAGGATAACCATCAAGAGGAACTAGCGCGCCAGTTACAGAAACAAGGATACGTGGTTGCTAGTCACTATCAGTACGTTTCAGGTTCTGCTATATGTGCATCAGGCTTTGCTAATTACCCTGCAGAAATCTTTGCCAAGCACTGCATCAGGCTGAACAACTACGAGCTCGCATGTTAAGGTGGCCGCCTGTTCGTGGCCCTGGCCAGAAAAGCCAGCCGACACTGGAGCAAGTAATGTCTGATGAGATGGGATTTGTGGATTGAATACCATCAACTCCCTTATGAATGATGATTTATGCTACCTCTTGGCTACTTTCATATGAACTGCGAACAATCGCGTCGCCGCTACTCCTTCATCTGCGGTGCTTCCAACTGCTGGAATTGCTCCAAGCTTGACCTCAGGATATCTGGTCCAAGCTTTTGTGCCTCGTCTACGGGCCTCGAGGCAGTTGTTGGTCGATCGAGCCGTGCGGTCAGATAGAAGAAAGCCCGATGCCTTGTTTTGTTAGCGGACGACCGTTCATGAACATTGGATTTTGACTGTTTAGGCATTCGTATTGTTTTAAGGCCTTCAGATTCCGCCATTGTCATGTTTTATGTTAAATTTTTGGCGTCGGGGCGAATAGATTGTAGAGGTACTTTGTAGCAGCGATAGTCGGCTGGCCCAAGCTCCTTGTTGATGGGAAACTTGAGCGGACGCGAAGAGCTGCGGGATAACATCCCCTCTGAAAACAACTATTTTGCGTACATCGCCAATGTCCACGCTGATGAACTAGAACTCATTTCACAAGCTGACAGTTATAATCTTTCACGTCTACCGGTCTTACGAGTTACAACCAGCAAGAATAGGCCTCAGGGCCATTGTCACCACGATTCGCGCCGCCTCCCCCCTACCGACTTCCTCCCCAAACACAACGCTTCTTCTCACACAATGGCCGAGGCAACGCTTCACAACGCCCCCATTGTCATCGACAATGGCAGCGGCACAATCCGCGCAGGTTTCGCCGGAGAAGAGATCCCCTCATGTTTCTTTCCCTCGTTCGTCGGGCGGCCAAAACACCCCCGGGTGATGGCCGGCGGTCTAGAGGGCGACGTGTTTATCGGGCAACGAGCACAGGAACTGCGCGGGCTGCTCAAAATCCGATACCCACTGGAACACGGCATCGTGACGGACTGGGACGACATGGAGAAAATCTGGCACTACGTGTACGAGAACGAGCTGAAGACGCTACCGGAAGAACACCCCGTGCTCCTGACGGAGCCGCCGCTCAACCCGCGCAAGAACCGCGATGTTGCCGCCCAGATCATGTTCGAGACGTTCAATGTGCCGGCGCTGTATACGTCCATCCAGGCGGTGCTGTCACTGTACGCGTCCGGGCGCACGACGGGCGTGGTGCTGGACTCAGGGGACGGGGTGTCCCATGCGGTGCCTGTGTTTGAGGGTTTCGCAATTCCCAATAGTATACGGCGGATTGATGTTGCGGGGAGAGATGTCACGGAGCAATTGCAGTTGCTGCTGCGGAAGAACGGGCATGTGCTGCATACGAGTGCGGAGAAGGAGGTCGTGCGGATGATCAAGGAGAAGGTCTGCTACGTGTCGTTGGATCCGAAGCGGGAAGAGAAGGACTGGATGAACAGTTACCACAAGTCGGAGGCGAAAGCCGTCGACTACGTATTGCCTGATGGGCACAAGATCAAGGTCAGCACCCGTCTACAATCAAATTTCTGGGGAACCGGAACTAATCAACCAGAGTAGATCGGACAAGAGCGCTACAGAGCCCCCGAGATCCTATTCGAACCCGAGCTCATCGGCCTGGAATACCCCGGCGTTCATCAGATCGTCCAAGACGCCATCACCCGCACAGATCTCGATCTCCGGAAATCCCTATACCTCAACATCGTCCTCTCAGGGGGCTCAACACTGTGCAAGAACTTCCCCGACCGGCTAATGCGCGAGATCAAGAGATTGGCCGTAGAGGACATGAAGATCCGCATCTCTGCGCCGGCAGAACGGAAATACACCACCTGGATCGGCGGTGGTATCCTCGCCGGGCTCAGCACATTCCGAAAGGTACGTCCAAGTCACCCCCCAAGACCCAATATCCAAAACAGCCCCAACTAACAGCTCCCTCAGATGTGGGTAAGCGCAGACGAATGGCACGAAGACCCGGAGATCATCCACAGGAAATTCGCCTAAGCATGTCTCTCCTATCAGCAAATGCGGTAGTCGTCCTCGGCCTCTTCTTTCCTCTGCCTTCTGGCCGTATACGCCAGACCAGCCGCCACCAAGTCCACCAGGCTCAATTGAGTCAACCCACAACTGTAGCGGCTAGGCTTGGGCTTTTGATACCCTTCTTCTTCCCTCTTCTTAAGCCATTGATGCATCATTCAATCCCATCACGCACTATACCTTTTATTTCTCTTGCTGGGCACAATGCAACATACCAGATGATAGCGCCTCAAATCTATGCATGAAATCCATGTCCCGCTGCCCGAATCCATCAAAGAGCAAGTAATTTACTTCACGCTCCAGTGGGGGTGGTTATGTTCAGGCAGTGTTTGCCCTGTACTGTATCAGTGGGAGCCGTTTGAAGGCAGATGTTGTACATAATTGACATTGGAATATAGACGTAATGAGCGACATGTCGTACGAGTACGGGTACATAGGTCTGGTCTACGGACTACAGAGTACAAGTTACTTAAAAAATCCAAGTAAAGGTCCAGTAGCAGAAATCTGTTTCCTGTTTCCAATTGGTGTGGCCAACGCCAGTGTTACGCTAAGCTAAGATACATGAGGGATGCAGATGCAAATGCAGATGCAGATGGCCTCCCCGATGCCAATCCAAAAATCTGGCATGGCTCAATCACGCTGAATAATCTTGAAGAAACAGAATGGTATGAATGATGGGAGATAGGCGCAATGGATGCTGAAAATCCTTGGGGAATCATAGACAACGGAAGCAGATTTCAGATGTATAGTAGCAGGGGTATCAGGTCGATACAGTAATGTTGAAGCAAAAGGATAGATTGTAGCCGCGGATTGTTGGCCAGGACGCTCCACAGCAATCATATCGCACGAAGAATGTTGAAGTTGGATTAAGAAAAGCGTAGGTGATAGTTAACTTCCCCAAGGAGATGATAATCGAAAAAAGAAAAAACTTTTTTTGGTTGTTGGTCGTAAATCGTCATGTCGTTAGGCGCAGCGCGGCGCGGCGCATGATGCAAGGAATGGCGACCCCTTAAGCCATACCCCTGATCTTTCCCCAACCCTTCTCCAGGCCACGAAGGGCCTTCTCTCGAGTAGAGCCGGTGCTGCTGGCTGATGCCGTGCTGCTCGAGGAAAACTTGCGAGTCAGGATGCTGCTGCCACTACTGCAGCTATCACCGTAGATCATGTTGCCTGCACCTCCTCGGCCGACGTGGTAGACAGGAGCGGCACGGCGCAATTCCCGTTCCAGTTCCTCATCGAAGCTGAAGATCGCCCGTTCACTGCTGCTGCGGACATTCCCTGCACCGCCGCGGCCTGACTTGAAGGTACTCGGGACATTTGAATCCAGGCGCGTCAGGGAGGCGGGGCCGGTGGCTGTTTGCGAATCGGTAGTCTTGGTGTTCTTCAGGCTGATGACGTTGCCAGCGCCTCCGCGAGCTGTATGTAGGGCTGGACGGCTGGTGTGAGGAACGGACGGGTGAGGTTCAATCACGCGGTAGTTCATTTTCGCGGGCATAATGTCGGTAGTGGTGATGGATGTCCTTTGACCGGATTATACTCAAATCAAGCTCGTGGTATGCGGATCGTGCGATTGACTCAAGAGCCAACTCTCAGCAAAGAACCATCTAATGGATGAATCTCAACGTCTAGTCTATAGCTGACGTGACCGCGCGGAATTGTAGGCGACTTCAAGCACGCAGAAGCAGAATGCTCGAATATCAAGTAAATACGTTTGTATAGGTTGAAGAAGACGTCAAAGAGAGAAGTTTAGCGAGGAGTATTAAAGGACGCCAGGTAATGAGGAGAAGAAATTTCTTTGTTTGCTGTATGGAGACTGTATAGTATGGGACCCAAACATTCAGGCGGGGAAGGTTTTATATAGTTATGCCCCCTTGTGCCGTCATGGTCTACCCATCATTGCACCAAATTGCACCATTAGTGCCTCAGCTGGGGCGCTCCTTGCCAGGCACAAGAGTCACGGACAGAACCAGAGGGTCACACGCGGTGCTGTTTGTGGATATTGGATAACCAAGTGGAGTTGGCGGTTAGTTCTAGTCGTCAAAACCAAAAAAAATTTCCCCAGCGAAAATTCTCTCACAGTCGACGTATCAGGTAAGCCTCCGAGGGTATGCGCGCGGTTCTTCGGCAGGCTGTAAGGCGGCAGCAAGAATAAGTCGCTGATTCAGCGGCGCGACAGCCAATCAGAAGTAAATAATCCTGAATTGTGTTAGCAGGTTATTCTCTTATTGGGCAAAAAGTCCAGTTGGCAGCCAACAGCCCTTGCTGCTTTAAGAAATTCCTGGAGATCATCTGACGAGCACACCGTCCCTCCGCGGCGTGGCAAACGTAACAGAAACGGCCTTTGGAGCCAATCAGATGCCACCACCAATTTTCTGGGGGTAATGGAAATTGCTGGATGGACAGTCACGAGTCGCTTTGAGCACTCGCCTCTTTCCCAAAATGCCACCAAAGCAATCCAGGTTTCGGTCACGATGAGGAGAGGAGATGGTTCTAGACATGGTACAATGACGATGTTTCCAATTCCCTCTCCTCACCGTCTCCGTCGATGCTTTAGATCCTCTCCGTTGGCTATTGCGTCGCAGTTCCTGGGGGCCGGATCATGCGGCGAAATCCTAATTAAGGTAGTCTCGTGGCATCTTTATTTGGTGAAGGCTGCATGGGGAATCTCAGACTATTGTTCCTCACCATCTACACCCGATTCTATGTAGTATAAGATAAATGTAACATGGCCTATTGTTATTGGACTATGGATGGTTGTTTGGGACAAAAGCAAAAAGAAATAAAATTAAATAAAAAACCCCGCATGTACCGAAATCCATGTACAATTGCATCATTCTTGTCGTAGAAACTGCCATCTCTTAGGACATTCCATGCCATCATTAATCCCCATGGCAGGCTGCAGAATATTCTCTCTGTACTTACCCCTTTCTGAGGCTGAGCGTTTGGCGATGGATCTACTATCATAGCACTATTTTCAGGGCAGACAATAAACCATCCCATGACTAAGTCTCAGGAGAAGAGTCTTCAATAGTGATGTCTTGGAGGAGAAGGACTTGGCATTTGTAGATCCAACTAACCTTGCTCGAGTCTAGCGCCAGGATCAAGTCAGGGGCGATCGGTCAAGGATGAAGACTCTTAGAATCTTCTCAATCTTGGATTCTACCACGTATCTGGTTCATTCTGAGGCAATCCTCGTCGGTTTCACGGAAGGAGCTATTTCGTAATTGATACCATCATAATTGCTACCTCGAGTATCTCAGGCTTTCCTGTCTACCGAATACTCCGTACTGTGGCAGAGACTTATGACAGGCCCTGACCGCAAATCGACAGGAGAACAGACACTAGGCTCAAAGAGGACAGCTTTCCCCAGACCGGAAGAGCCTGGACTGCAGAGTGCAGACAGAAAGTGGATCTCAGAAATGACGCACGGAAGGAAAATTTTTTTTTTCTCTCCTTCTATTTTTTCCCTCTGTAACCCACTTGCTCTCGACCAATCAATTTCCCCTGAGGGGTAGCAAGTTTTTCTGCGACTCCAACCAGCAAAACTGCCCTTGCACTTTGCCTTTACCCAGTCATCATTTCAACTTGACAAAACGGATAGTCACTGGTGGTTCTCGCCGAGTGCCACTGACCAGTACCAGCAACCGGATCACCTTACCGGCAAATGGCCGGTCCATTCAACCCAAACCGAGCACTCCGAGGCTTCTCCAGCCTGACAAGCTGAAACAGGAAATTTTGAATTGCCTTCCCCGGATTTTCCAGCCCCAGCCCAGCGTGGCTGCGTACCACATCCCTAAGTGTCACGCTGGCACCACCAGCTGTCAGCATCCCGTGATATCTCCCCGTGAGCTCACCAGCAGAGTATGTCTTATTGTTCATTGCGGTCTAAAAATTTGAACACCCCTTGTGGCAGATCCCCTTCCCCCTAGATTTGATTCCTCCTGCTCTATTGAGGTAGTCTGCTGCTTAACTGTTTGGGGACTTGCGTCTGGGGAGCCCCTCTTCCTCAAACTCCAACAGACTTCCGCAGAACAACTATACTTTCCAGTCTCTGCAGTCGGAGATCACCTTCCCAACAAAACCGCCCCATTACCCTCCCTTTCTCCATTTGCGCCGCGTGTAGCACCAGCATGCACATCAGCATCCGGTGTCACAGTCGTACAAAATGCATACATGCCACATCCCCAATATGCGGCATTTCTTTCCCCCTGCATCATACTGCGGAGTTGGAGTCGTCCAAGTCATTATTAATATTAGCTAAAGCTTGAAGATCAGAGGGACTAGAACTCTGTGGCCGGCATAATCTTAAGTAACAGAATGCCCCCGGTCTGGGGCCGGCTTGGGGTTTTGACCGCTCCGGTTCCTGGCGACTACTGGTTAATCTCCCGCTGGATCCTTGACAGACCTAAGGCCTCAAAGTCAGTTTGTCACTCAAATCAGCTGGAGCGGAGTGGGAACGTGACTATGGTAGTCTCAGTAGCACGACTCTCGTTCATCCTAAATCACGTCATGGCGAGTTGTCCATCAGGTTTGCGTGATTTATACAAGGCCTCTTGTTGTTAGGGTTCGGGTAACCTGCATTTCTTACTCTGTGCTAGGCTTTCATACTAGCACCCGCACTAGAGTACTACGCTCACCTGCAATCAAGTAGAAAAAAGATCAATATGAGTATCAATTGCGCTAAGAGATAAGCCAGGAAGAGCGGCAATCACCAATATGCCCCCGCAAGTCCGTATATAAAGCAAGATCCCGCGAGCCAGTCGCAGGTCATCCAATAAACGCAAAAGTTCAGCAACCTACGGAAGTATAGCGAGTCAAATCAGCAACCCCCGTTCACATCGTCTGATAGATCCGAAAACTGCGAAACTCCCAATAAGCCTGCGAGAAATTCTGCGGGTTGCGAGCGACAAACTCCTCACATGTTGCCGGACAATCATACAGATCGTTGTAGTCCTCCTGTTGGGCCCCCATCTCGCCGCACAGATCAATGTTGACGATGATGCTCTGGTTGCTAAAGTGAGACGCGATGTCGCAGTGTGTGCTGGGGAAGTCAACCAGAGCCGTCCCCCAAGTGGACGGGTCAGGCCTGCGCTCCGAATTTGAGATGTCGTCTGGGATGGAACCGCGAGGGAAAACCCAGACTCTGATTCCTGCTTCTCGGAGTTCAACCGCGTACACCTGGAACGGGTCAGTGTTTTCACCTTAAAAGGCAGAGGATAAGGATCCATACACCACCGCCATTCTCGTTGAACTCCTCGCCATACGTCGCCGGGCGAGCCTGGACAGCACAGCCCGCGTTCCCGTGCCTATCGTCGCAGGCCGAGTACTGCGCGCTGCCCAGCTGCTTCCGTCTTCCCTTGACGCTGCAGCCCTTGTCGGTGTGCAGGGTGACCACGTTGCCTTCTGTAGCTCGGTTTGTTGTTTCGAGCACGTCGATTTCGCCGTTGAGTGGCCAGTTGTATGTGTCCGCTAGCCATAGGGCGGGCCAGGTTCCACAGCCGTAGGGTGTGTGGATGATGTCAAAGATGAATAGGCCCGTGTCGTAGCCTTTCTTAGACTCGAGTCGTACGGACTTTCTGCCTCGGGGTGCGTAGCGGGTTTTGTTGTCGACTCTTATGCTTACAGATGAATCTGTAGAATGTATCAAGCTGAGGGACTCTGCTTGTTTACGATTGACATACCTGTGGATTGTAAGCGCGAGGTCAATGCAGACTGCCTAAGCTTATTTACTTACTCGACGAATCCATAGGTAGGGTCCTCGTCTGTGAAGTGCCAGAAGTGATCAAAGGAGGATGGGTGGTACTCGTCCACCAGGAAATAGTCAAGAGGTAAATAATCTGGATATCGAGTATCCCTCGTTCCAAGGACAATGCCTACTATTACTCCAGCTAGAACTGCAAAAAGCACTGCAACAAGAACGAGGATCTTGACTGCACGGCGCCATCCGCTTGGGTTGCAGCATGAACACTGAGCTGGGCTGTCGTCCTTGCAAGGTTTATTTGACTGAATCTCATGAGATGTTGGGTTTCTCTCAACCTTGTATAATGCTTCTCCTTGGTAGAAACTGCTTGAGTCGGCCATGGCTGCTAACTTCTGATCTTGATGTTTCGAGACTTGCAAATGTGAAGCAGTTGCAGCACACTACAGTCCGTCGATGAACATATTGACACGTCGCGCATCGACGCCATAATGAATCACAACTGAGATGATTCAGAGAGGTTCCCCGGATCTCTCACGGTGCTCAACCACAGATCGCTCTAACTATGAAGAGTGGTTCAGGCAGATACCAGTGTGGGAATCATCAGATAACGCTTCTGATCTACTAAGCACGAGCAAACAGCTCCAACAACTCTTGTCATTTAATATGGCCAAATGGGGATATCCTCCCTTGAGTGAGGAAGCAATGCAAATGTGGGACGACACTTGTTCGCTCGGCTCGGGTATCCATCCCAGTTGAGCTCTATCAGGACGTGCAGCGCATGGTAAGGCAATGTTGACTTATTCTGCTGAACGAGTGATGGTCGACAGTGCTAAACTTTAGCTCGCAATTCCTCCAAATTGCCTTGTTTCGGCGTACTGCTTTGAATATCATTAGCCATGACTGAGATAATCGACTGGATATCGTCATCATTGTACCCTCATAACATGGTGTTGCTTTCAGGCAGCGTCGCTAGCCTTGACACCTTTGAGCCTGAGGACATCATCATATTCTGCCACTTTCCACCGCTCTGATAACCTCCGTTGGATCGAATCTCTAGGCTCCGTAGCTAAATTTACTTGCGACAATGCTTTAATTAACCAACCGGACTTTGTTGCAAGCAACCGAACTATTGACAAACGAGACAAGATTTGTACTGCAATCTGAGAGTTACTCATTCGATCAGCGCAATCCGTCTTGTCTCAGCGCGCAATCTTTGTCCCACGCGCAACGCGCCTTTTGAGCGCCACCCATTCGAACTTCTCCCAAACGATTGCAGAAGCGATCGCTTCTACAATTTGAAAATGCCAAAATATAAGTATCCCTTTCCCATAATATGAACATCCAAGCTGACATTTGCCGTACTCTTCTGTAGGCCTTCTTTCCCGTCGGAACATATCAGGTGTTCGGATGCGCAATCGCATCCGAAGCAGTCGTCTATCAATACAGCTTGAGTGTAGCTACAATGATTCTAACAGTGGATTCTGTATACAGGTGACTACTGCGATGTATATCTCACGCACGACTCGATGAGCGTGCGTAAGGCTCACAATGCGGGTCGGAATCATTTGAGGAACGTGGTGGAATACTATCAACGTATGCACAAGTCTACCCTCTCCCCAACCACAGTCTGTCGCTGACGGTGCTGACAATTGGTACAGAGATTGGACAGGAAAAGGCACAATCCGTCATTGACTCGATCACGTCTTCATATGCTGCCGAGGGCCAAGCTGTTCCCAACCCTGCCATGGCTCCCCCAGGCGCGTTTCCTCCACCATTCGGATTTCCTGGTACGCGAACATACCCCAGCTCATGGGACAACTCTCTTCTCTTGTTTTGGAAAGATACTTACCAATATCCCTGGTTTAGGTCGCCCCGGTCAACTCCCACCTCCTCCATTCGGTATCCCTCCCCCCGGAGGGCCCAATGGAGTTCCCCCAGGCATGCCCATTCGTACGTCCACACCCTCCATATCCCAATTCTCTGCTCTCTGTTTATCACTGACACTCTCCACAGCACCACCCGGCGGTAGAGGCCTCCCCTTCCCACCTCCCTTCCCCCCAGCACCAGGCGGCGCCCCAGGAGGTCTTCCCCCGCCGCCTCTCGGCCACATGCCCCCCGGTCAAGGCTTCCCCCCCGTCCCACCACCAGGCGGGTTCCCGCCTAACTTCCAGATTCCTCCTCCCGGCGCTGGGGGATTCCCTCCCGTACCTCCTCCCGGCCAGCCTGGTTTCAGCCCGAGCCCTGGGCCCGGTATGTCGGGTCCCCCGGCGCCGCCGGGGATGGGCTCCTCGACTCTGCCGGGGCCTCCTCCGGGACTAGGTGAAAAGCGATGATTGAGTTCCGGCTGGTCATTGTGGTGTATTACTTGTGATGTTACTCGGGCTTTCGTGTCGGTAGATCTCTACGAACTTTTTTTATTTGTTCTACTTCAGCGTGGTTTAACAGGATGTTATACGAATGCATTTAGTGACAATGATCATTCTTACTGCAATATAACCATTGCCACACGCATCTATGTCCGAACCTCGCATTGACGTTTAGGCGGGTCTATATCATTCCAACATGAGTCCACACTGATATCAAGTTGTGGTGACCACAGACGTATTCTATAATAATGAGCATGTTAGGATACCATGCGTGTCTCACGCAGGCTCTAGCAATATGATTCCTGTCCATACATGGAACCGCGATATGATACACCACTGGACAATGCAGAGCACAAACGACTCTAGGTCCCTAAAATACTTGGGAAATGTCCACAAACCCAGGTCCCGATATCCAAATCCAATGCTTCAGAACGCCAGCTGTAATCGCAAGGGGGAAAAGAGAACATCCAGTAAGGATATAGTAAGATCAATAGCGAGGTTGGGAAAAGGAAAAAAAAAAAAAGGATTTTGGAGTATATCACAATGAAGCAAAAGGAACGGAGGTAGAAAGGGTGGATGAGCTACGAAAGGAAAAAAATCAGAGTTCAGAGGACAGGACGATTGGTCAGTCCACTCCCGCGCTTACGCCATAACTTCATTTCCAGAAAGACTCAGAGAAAACATAGTCAGCGGGATCCTCTAATGATCATACCCGGCCCCTCTCTGCCATGGACTGGCATTGTGCTGGGCGCGGTAGGGAATTGGCGATGGTGAACGTCCATAATTAGGCGGTCCCCGTCCATCGCTGGGGAATAGAGGTACCGAAGGGTCAACTGGAGATACTGGAGCTTGGCGGTGCGGCGTCGTATCATGAGATGCTTGCAGATTCTGACGTCCAATGCTGGCTCCGTTGCCGCTTGAGAAAGAACCATTGTCATCGTCGAAGGGACTCGACTTGTAGGACGTGTCCTTGACATCGCCGCGTGCAGTGGCACCTAGGGCGTCCAGCTCCGTAGTCAATTGGCTCTGCGACTTGATAAATGAGCCGCGGTCGTCTCTCATGGGCTGGTAACGGGTATCAGGGTTTTTCGATACAATGGCGTAGATGGATGCGATAAGCACCAGAATCAATAGAATCAGCGAGAAAACCGCGTTATAAACGAAGAAGATAACGCCCATGACACCAGTAACGAGACCTGGTTGGTTGAAGACCTCCGAGAAAAACAGCAAAAAGACGGCATTGACGAAGTTGATGGCGGCAATAGTGATGTTGTAGATGTTCGTCTTTTTGTCCATCCAAGGCCGCAGAACGCTGACGGCAATGAGCATGGCGGCCTCGATGATGACCAGGGCGACGGTCTGTACAACAGGAGCTGGTTGCCCAAGGCCAATGAACATGGCCTTGATAAGGAGGTACACTAGAACCGGCACCACGAAGTAGTAGGCAGTCGCACGGTATTGCACGTACAAAAATCCCCACTTGTTCAGGCATGTGGGATCAGAGAAGAGAATGTATGCTGGGTTCTTGTGCATGACAACCGACCGCTTGGCCAGGAGGATCACTTTGAAAGCAGCCCAGCCCAGAGCGCCGAGCACTGACAGAAACATGATAACCGCCAGTACCATCTCAGCGGCCGAGTTATGCTGGGTAAATTCCCAGAGACACAGCACGCACATCTGGGGAAAACCAATCAGGGTCAGTCGGAACAAGATGCCTCGTGCCACAACTTTCCAGCCGTTTCGGAAATCAGAGAACTTGTCACTCTTCATCCTTCCATTCTTCGCGAGGATCTCACACCCGGCTTTGAAGAGGGCGACAACGACCATCACTATGAAGACGAAGAAAACAAAGAAAATGAGACCCGTAAGGAAGATATTGGTCTGTTCAATGCCTGCTATGAAGCCGACACGATCAATGCCGCGCACAACGACGGTTGAGGAAGTAGCCGCGTCGTTGGCCGCAGTAGCTCTTTTCACGATTTCGTTGACGCCCCTCTTCATCAGGTTCGTTGTAGCTTCAACAGAACGTTTTCGGCGTTTCAGGACTTCGACGGAAGTGGTAGACAACTCGGACAAAAGGGTTGAAGGTGTTCCACCGGTCGATCGTAGATACCAAGTGCAAAGCGTCTCCAAGAACCCAACGTGGATGATACCCATACTCCATTGGAAATTCTGCGTCCATGCTTCGACAATCGGCGGCATTGCAACGGAGATCATGCCGAACATAGCCTGCGACTGCATGAAGCCGAAAAGAGAGAGAGCATTGGCTGCGACATGAGCGGCGGTATTTGAGTGACCGAGACCAGAAGTGATTGCGGAAGCAGCAAGACCCAAACCGGAGATGATAGCTGTTGTCCAACCGACGCCTTTCTGGTAAACCGTCTTGCCGTTCGATAGACTAGCTTCAATGCAAGTGATACTCTTGCGAGTCTCTGTAGAGTTGATATAGATCCGAACCTTGGCATCAAGATCTGGAACCGTGTATGCGATGCCTAATGGTATGGTTAGAGAGATTACACCCTTTTCAGACAGCAGTCAGCGTAGGCATCCTCACCAGGAATCTGTTTAGCCACATCCTCCGACACGATGATATTGGCGCTGGGCACATCGATGGGGCCAGCGTTCATTGGACAAAGACCCGCCAGATTCATTTCGCAAGGATCCAGCTCTTTCCTCACTACTTCATATCCATATGCAGTGAGAACAAGCTCGGCGGTAACTTTACCGGAGATCGCAGCGACTCCATCAAAGGCAAAGGCTAATGATCGATTGTTGGGCGTGAAAGTGACACTGAAGAATGTTGCTGTGAAGTTCGAACTGTCTTGACACAGGTTCAGGGCATTGGACTCGATGAGCTTAGTCGCAGACACAAGCGGTGTTGCGAGAAAAGCGACGAACAAGCTGATGATCAGCGATATTAACCGCATGGTGGCAGGGCTCTGTCGAGCTGTGTTCTTGCACTTGACAGCGGGAAGAAGTTCGTGGATGGAGGCGAGAATAGAGCACAGTCAAAAGGCTGGAATGACCACTGTCGAATGGGAGGTGGTACTCCAGAGTACCAAGTGTGGACCGGCCGGATGCGGAAATGTGGTATCGACCACAGGTTGTATTGTAATGATGTGGAAGCGAGGGTAACGAGCAATTCAGATAAAGTGCCGATTCAAGATTGTTCGAGTAAGATCGGGTTGTATTGCGGCTTGTTGTTCAATAAGTCATTGAAGGGACCATAGACCGGTATCCAGCGCGAGTCTTCTAGGCAGGGTAAACGAGAGAAAGGATCGCACGAATCGACACGGCGACGAAGCGATCGATAACAATTTCCGGGAAAGAGTGACGAATGTCGCAGTGTATATAAAAGAGTGTCGAGAGCGATATTGAAGTCGTTGGAGGACGATTGAAGCGAGCGGGACGGCGAACACACAGTGTATAGCCTAAGAGGGTAAGACAACCAAGGGGACGGGGGTTTCCCTGAGATATGATGGCCGTCGTTCTCTATCCGTCTCTTTCTATTTTCCCTCAAGACGCTTCGATCTGGACGAGTAGTCAAGAAGCGGCAAAGAGAGATATCAAAGAAAGAAAATAAAAAGAACGAGGGTAGTAGGAGAGAGAGATTGGCACCCTTTCGCTCTTGACCTCTCCAGAAACACAAGAAAACGGGGGGGGGGTGTGGATGGGACAGAAGGTCTGGTCGCAGGAGAGACCGCAGGAATGCCGATGAAACACCCTCGACAGCTGAGTCAGCACGGGGGTTGTGTTGTGAGGTGGACCAATGACAGGTGATCACTGCATTCATTAATTAAGGTCCCTTAGGGTCGCAGAGTGAGTATCAGGCAGCTGTCTTTGGGTCGAGTGGATTTGCTGCAGTTTCAATTCGAGACAGGTTTTTAGGGGTAGGGAAGGAAAGGAAATATTGGAAGATTAAGTCTACAGTGTACTTATGCAGGGAAGGAACTAGGTTTTACCTTATGCCGAAGATTCTTCAGCATGACAAGTCTACATGCGCAAGATGATGGATGACCGTATCAGCCATCGAATTTCTTGCTGAAACTGCCGTAATGCTCGGATCATGCTCTGTAGGTACCTCAACCACCGTCTCGCCAAAGTTCCCTTGGCGGACAACCACCCACAGCATCCACCACCAGAGCAGATCAACCCAGCCCGTGCTGAGCCTCTGTGTGTCCCAATAATGCACGCGCGTCTCTCAGGGGCGGCATATTTGCTGGACCAGAGCACCAGATCATTGGTTATAATTTTAATCCATTTCAGATTTGCGTTTGCGTCGGCGGCAACAGGAACACAATATCCTTTGTACTACGAAGTACTTAGATCTTTTCAGCTTGGTGAGGTTTTTGATTCGTTCTTTGCCTTTTTCTGGGGAGATTGGAATACTACTAAACCCCCAAAAAAGACAAAAGGGAGCAGTATTGTCATTCATGAAGGCTGGGTGTATCCTGGATAGTACCAAGGACCCCACGGATTGCGAGATTACATCCATCGAGCTTTCCAAAGGCACCAGTGGATCTGTCCCATTGAAAGTGATACGCTCATCGTTACTCGCCTTGGCGATCCAGCATCTCTCTATTTTCTCACTGTATGTTCTTAGAAATCACACCAGCCACGTCCAGCGTCTATCATTTGAGACTGGTTCAGGGCTTCAGGCCAAGTATTGACAGGATGTGGACGTGGACTTCCTCAGGCTTGATTGTGGTAGCGGTCTTCCTGCTGGTCCTCTTTCGCGACCATGGATCATTATTTCAAGCGGATGCTAATAATAACTCCGCCACCCACTCAAACTTTAATGCGATCATGCAAACTGTGGTTTAAGCTCAAGGCTGAGGTTATATCAGTGATTGATTTTCATGATGACAAAATTCATTTTCCTTTCGACATTGACATTATTATTTGAATGCCCTCTCTCAAACAAGAATACTACTAGATCATTGATGTAAAGTCTAGAGAGGTAAACA